CACCATCACTTCAACACTTCCCACACAAGCACTTCATTTGAATCACTGTTTCAATCAATTCATCTATTAATGCAAACATTTATTCCTATTTTAATTGATTTATAATTTAAAACACAATTAATAGATGTTTAATAAAAAGTAAATCAAACCAATAACTTATTGAATGGCATTAATTAAGCATGCTCATTTTGTTATCATTATATTCATTATAATTTATACTTTAACTGTTTACACATTTCCCTTTCTTTTTATTAATAAATTGTTAATTAAAATTAATAGTGATTAATACTTAATTTATTTATAAGTAAAGAATTAAATAAACAATTAAAATCTTCAATTTTACACAAATAAGGTTAAAAGCAAGTTTATTTAATAAATAGTGACCAAGGTGGAAACAATGCTTTATGATGATAAAAGACAACTTATTCTACAATAATATAATTTACGTTAGATTTGTATAATGTAGAGAATTAATCAATTATTATAATTACCCATTAAAACAGAATAAATATGAAAAATGTGAATAACATTTATTTTGATTTAGTATTTGGTATTAATTTAGCCATTCTTAAGGAAAATATTCCTAATTATAGACTAATTTTGTTATTTAATTCAATTGTTTGGTTCGTATGGGAAATAGAAATAATTCAATATTTTAATTGCATGACTACACAACTAAATTTTACCATCATATGAATTTTGCAAACAATTCTATGTTGGTTCGTTTCTTTCAACTTTGATTATTTTTGCATAATTTGCAAATAAATTCAAGTCGATTAATAAATAAATTAAATGATCTAAATTAATCCAAATTATTTTTACAACAATGATATTAATATAAAATAAATTAAATTTATAAAATTGCAAAATATTGTTACAAAAGTTAAATATATTCTTCAAATTGTTTGTGTGTGAGATATAAGAGAGCGCTTCATATGTTCTTATGTGCGATATTTCTGTTCCCAAAACTCATTTATTATTGATATTTGAATTTTATTTTAATATTAAAACCAATAATCAATATTATTTACTTAATATTTTTATAGGTCTTAAATAAAAATTATATGTGAATTATACAATTAGATTAATCACTTAATTTTCATAGCGATTAAGTTGTTTATAAATTGTTAATTATATTTATTAATCAATGATTAGACACAAGTGATAAAAGTAATATAGATTTATTTATTTATTTAAAGTATTTAGATTTTATAAAACTTAAAATTATAATTATCAATGTAAAAATATGTTTAGGTTAAAATAAATTTTATTGAAATTATTTTATATTTATATAAGAATATAATGCAAAGATTTATAAGAATAACATATTTTAAAATTTTATACTTATTTTTTAACATAAATTTTGTATTTATAAATAAATTTTAATTAAAATTATATCAAATAATAAAATAAGGAACCTATGTGGTAAAATTAATAGAATACAAAATAAATCATTAGATAATTTATTCCATTTAAATTATTATGGAATTTTAAATATACTAATAAAACAATCATGAAGAATATTTTGTAATATTTTGTGAATACTATTTTTCATTGACAGAACAATACATTTATATTGTAATATTGAAATGCAATAAAATACGAAACTTAATTGAACATAATAAATCATTTCACTATTTTATAAATGTTTGAAATTCTTTGGTTTAGAATATCATAATAAAAAATTTCTCGATTGAAATTTAAGTTACATTTAATTGAATGATTATATTTATAAATGTAACTAAATAAAATTATAATTACTACAAATTTGTAATTTTGAAATTTAAATCAAAATTTTTGTGTATTTTTCATGTTTTTAACATATACAAATTATACTAACTTGAGATTTTCTTTTATAATAATTTATTTGTAAATTAAACACAACAGTTATTTTAATATTTATGCCACAAAACAATTTAAGTAACAATTCTTTTTATAATTTTATTTAATTTTGTCTTATATTTTGTCCATAATACAATTTATAATGTATGCTGTTTAATAATAATGGGCATGATTACAATTACAAATATAGAATCGTCGTTTTATAAAACTAAATTTATAAAAATGCATAAAGTATTACTGAATAAATTAAAACAACATGTATCAAAAATTAATAAATTGGTGTAAAATTAACATAAAGTATCTGCGATTACTTACAAACATGAAAAAGAAGTATTGTATTTACAGTATGTTTAACATGAAAAGTGTAGTTTATACTGCTTTCAATTATCTATTGATTACAATATAATTGACTTTTTTATTATTTTATTTTCAAAAAGAAAGCATCAATGTAAAAATATATACTGTATGAGTAAATTAACTCAATAATATTGATAGACCTCAAAATATATGACAAAATTTTTAATCTATCACCAAAGGATATTTGACTTAAAACATATCCATTCATCCGAACTATAATACATTATTATAAGTCGTTAGTGAAAGACTGTTTAGGAAACTGTCCATTTGGAGGACCATTCGTAGAATCGCTTTGTGTCAAACATATTTGACAATACAAAATAATATAACATCTCTGATGTACAGTATTAATATCCTATTTTTTAGATGATTGCATTCCCCCTCTACTGAATGTGAGGACATTCGTTGCAAAGTAAAGATCAACCCCAGGAATGGTTAGCATTTGGTTTAACGAAAAGCTAAATTGAGTTTAAAATAACTGCATATCAAATGTTAGTTTTATTAATGATGTAAAATAACACAAACAAATCAATGCAAGAAACACAATGATTACGGTATTGATTACATTATATCATCGAATAACACAATTAAAACATTTCTTTGAATTTGGACTAAAATTACTTTTTAAATGACTCGCTCTTATGCTAATTGAGACTAAAATTAGAAACCACTGGAGATTACATAGATTAGGGAATGAGGCGATGAAAAGCGATGCAATAATCGATAAAATGTTATGTTTCTAAAAGAATTTATTGAGTAAAATTCTGTTTTCATTGGATGAATAATATTATTAATATTGTTAAATGAATAATACAATGTATAATCAAAACTTCAACATTATTAAATGTCTCAACTAATGTTATACTTCAACCAGATTTTAAGCAAGGATTTTGTCATTAGTTTCTGATTACAATCAACATTTTTGATGAGTACTTTGACAAAGTATTTTGAGCTTTTAATAAAAACAAAAATTATTTAAATTTTATTTACTATTCAATGGTTAATATAGTAAATATACTTAAATACAAATTATTCTAAATTTGATTACTAGCAAATAATATTAAGTATTTATACTATGTTAGTTGTTTAAAGATAATTGTATTATCAGTACTTTAATTCTAATTTAGTAATAATGATTGTGGTTATAATGTAGTATGATTTGGTTTGTAAAGTGCTTTGAATGTACAGTATTTATGCATTTGCCTCAAATGTATGATGAGATGAAGGCCTATGATGTGAGAAAAGTGTTTGGAAAATGAGATTTGGTTGTGTAGGACATGGTATGGGATATCGAGTTACAGTTGAACGTCATTGAAAGGCGACATGAATTTCATTGGATTCAATTCGTGATGTGTTTCCAAATAGTTTGAGTCTCCGAACGACTATAAAACACATTTGATATTTGGACGTAAAATTGGATATAAAGGCCAATGCGTTGAATGCATTGCAGGCAAATGTTTGCTCCGTTAGTGTTGTCAGTGGTTTGGAAGAAAAGCAAACCCTTGGAGTAATCGGATATATGTGAACATCAATTTCCGGACTGAGGGGAAGGCATTGGTGTGGGGGTCAGTCAGTCTTGAATTGACAGCACAGGCATCGTATTACCGAAACCACTATATGCGCCACTATAAGCACGTGCCGTGTAATGCATTTATATACCGGTACAGCACCCAACCTAACCCAACCTCACCACTTGATATGCTTGTGTTCAATTGGATGCATATATTCAATACCTATTCATTACTATTACATTATTCTCGATTTGTTCTCATATACACAATGAGCTAACCTTTACTTGTCTACAGCACTGGTAGTCTGAATGACTGAATGAGGTAAACATCAGATGCATTACCGAATCATTGAATCTTTTTTAATCACATTCTCTCCTCTATTCTACCCGTCATTCACTGAAAATGATATGATTTATGGCTAACAAAAGGCTCCACTCTATTGTGATTCTGGGTTTTCATAGCACTGATTGTCTCCTTAATTGGCTTTTATCTCAATTCCCAATTCATTATTAACAATATTGTAAGCATTGGTTTACACAACAAAAACATCAATAATTTATTTTCCCATTCAATCACAATATGTTTATTAATATTCAAATAATTCAAATGCGCTTAAAATAAGCCATAAATTGATTGAAATATAAAATGTGCGCAAAGTTTAGCCAAAAGAATAAAGAAACAAAGAATTCAGTTATGAGAAAAAGCCTGAGATTTACAAATGTATTTCATAATTGTGAAATTTAATACTAATAGCATTTCTTGAAAATAGCCTAAAGGACTCATTTATTATGTTTGAGTCCTCTCTTACTGTGGTTAGAGTCGGCCCTTCTCTTCATTGTTCAAAACACTATTCATTTAAACCATCTTTCATTAGAGAAGTAATACATGACTTGTATCTATAGTTTTTACAGTAAAATTATAATGAAAAACAACTCGTAAGTCATATCTTGAGTTAAATGAGAAAATATTGAGCAAAACTGATTGAAATGTTTAAAATATTAAATAATATATTCTTTGTTGCAATGCTTTCGCAGAACTGAATATTAGTTTACAAAACTATTTATATTAACAAATACTCTCATATGATATCAAATTCTATGGCATTAAGTAATACTTTTGAGTCTATTTTGTTGGTTACGATTACATGAAACACAAGTGTAAATATTGATGTAAATGTTGAAAATAAACAGTTGTGATGAATAACTCTACAAAATTGGCGATCAATGGCAATGTGAACAATAGGTGGACAGACAGGCAATAAGTTACGATTGAATTTACAATTTGCTTACAATTCCGCACATTCGGGGCTTGACATGAGATTTGCCTCCAATAGTGTTAGTTTTGCTAACAATCGCAACAATCACTACAATGTGAACTGATCTCTACTCTAGACTTATTCTGTTATTATTGTGATTATTGCTTCACAGGCCTCCGAGTGCCACATCTCAGTGCCAAACAAGACATATATACGTATATTTTCAGACAATAGCATGTAATTCACCACTACTTGTCATTGTATTGCCTGTAGTGTAGTATATGTTCAAAATATTACAGAATGACTGCAACGACTTGATTCAATTCCCATTCACTCTCTCAATAACCGAATCAATGGCTATTCAGGTAACGCACAAAAGCGTGACTCAATAGGTAGGCGTGCGATGCCTGGACTCCCAATGAACATGTGCTCTCAATACACATCTCATACCCCAATAATACATTATTTTCATTGGACTTTGTATAAGAACTTTAGCTTAAGTCAAGAATCCCAGAGAAGAGTAGAGTTGTGTTTATAATTTTTTCATTTCTTAAGTTTTGTCGATCTGTTTACAGGAGAGAGAGAGAGAATTATCTTAAAATAATAATTACAAAAATGGCAACATTTATATAAATGCTTTAATAGTAAATGGTTATTAAAATTAAACAATATTAAAAACAATTAATATTTTTATTAGGTGATAGTGAAGAGACTCCATGCGATGTGGTAATACTGGCCACGGGTTATAAATTAACATTTCCATTCATATCGCAAGACCTAATCTCTACCACCAACAACAAGGTTGAACTATTCAAATATGTGTTCTCACCGGCGCTGACACATCCCAAGACACTGGCCTTCATATCGCTAATACAACCGATCGGTCCGATTGTGCCGATCGGCGAATTACAGTCGCGATGGTTCGCCCAACTCATGGCCGGCAAGCGATCGCTGCCCAGCCGTCAGGAGATGAGGGCCGACATCGCTGTGAAACGACAGGCGATGAAACGCTACTACGAGTCGGAGCGGCACACCATTCAAGTGGATTGGCTTAACTTCATGGACGAGTTGGCACAACAGGTGGGCGTCAAACCAAACATTACGAAATATTTTTTCACCGACAAGGAGTTGTGGCGGGCGCTCATGTTTGGCCCGGCGCTGCCCTACCAGTACCGGCTCGAAGGTATACGTGATTTATCTATTTATTTAATGTGTGCTTTATTAATACCCTGTTGTTTTATGTCAGGTCCGCACTCGTGGTCCGGCGCCAGAGAGGCCCTACTGTCCGCTGAGGAGCGCATTGACTCTCCGTTGGCCACAAAACAACCTGTTGTTCGTGATAGTCGTGACAAATATAAAAGTATGAGCTGGGTCGAACAGTATATTATTGTATTTGGTTTAATAATTGTGTTTGTGTTGCTTTCGAATGTGCACTATTCACAGTAATTTTCATATTATATGCTATGAAGTTGTATTTTTAAATAAGTATGTAAATTACTGGTATGTTGAAATAAAAGTGTAGTTACAGTTTTGTGTATTTTATATTTTTTTAATGTATATTTTAAACATTTTTATTATTTGATGAAAATATACAAATTGTGAGTTTAATTTATAGTCATAATTTTATTCAATCTATTGTCTAAGTATGTCTACTCTACACCTAATTATAACCATGGTCGCGTTTCTAACGCTGAGTACGCTGTCGGCGCAGCGCTCGCAGTATTACCTTAATCATGTCTAAAACAAACTGCCATTTATAATAAACTACGAGCGCCTGTCGCCTCTGATCTGTGGGCAGGCGTCGGATACACTTACGGCTGTATCGCATATGTGTTTCAATCAGTAATACCGACACCAATGCCAGCCAATGGCAAAACCTCAACACTCGGTACACACTTATGTCGGACAGAGTTGACAGATGCCAACCCAACGGCCACCGCGAAGGGCCAACACTGGACGACTGGGCACTGACCCAACCGGCAGACCATATCCTGTCATTGATTGGCTGATCATCACCTGATGTATCGGTGGCCGACACCGACTCATCGTTGCCATTGCTGGTCGCCGCCCGACACCGCCTATGGTGTGCCCACCAAAGTGTTAACATGTAATCCATGGCCGCAATAGCGTTGCAGATGTCGGCCCGAGTGGTGCCAATCTGCAGGTCATTGGCCGCTGTGTTTCGCAATCGTATTAACGCAATGTAAATGTCTCTCAAGCGGCCGATTATACACCGAGTGTTGGACACCCGGTGAATGTCAACGGAGCCCCTGTATTGGTCGGGTGCGGGCACACCGATGGCCGGTATGTGTGCCATATGTTTAACCAATTCACTCAACGTTATCATGAGATTACTATTCAATAGTTGTGGTGACGGTGTGGGCGCCGCCCGGACCTCCCGTTTTACATCGGGATCGTTGAGCCAATCCATGCCATTCTCATGTGTGGCCATCACTTGGTGTCCGTTTGACGTCTATTTAGACATAGATTTATTTGTTTGCTTTTTTTTATTTGATTTTTATATTTTTAACTTTTTTATTATTGCGTAAAATCTTTTTATGTTTTATTGTTTTGATTTTTTGTAATTTTATATTTTATTTGACATTCTTTTGCAATAATAAATTACAAGTAAAGGTTTATATTCTTAATTTGTTATATTTATTGTAGCACATCTACCCTAGACATTTCACCACCTTTCATGACTAGTATTATAGCCAAAGTTAAAATTAATCCGGAATTAAATATTATTTTATTTCCATTTCAATACCATTTCTAAATATTGTCAATAATTTGTTAGCAATCATATACTGTATATACAGTATATTTTATATTTAAAAAACGTTAATTAAACACGATATAATTTTAAACAGCATTTAGTAGCCAAAGGATTTATATATTTCAATACCATTTGGAAATACCAAAAATAAGGCTACGTACATATAAACACAGGTCTATAAGGTATTTTAATAGTTAGTCTACACGAGCCTAACTACAGCATGTACTACTGTAATCAGGACACTTTTTACCAAATCTACAAAGTTCATTGACTTTTGCAGCCCATAGTAAATCATAGCAAACACATGCATACACTTACGATTAAATAATGGGCACAAAAAATAAAATGATTTTTAGTGGAAATAATTGACTTACATTCATTTTTATGGTTATAATTTAGCGCTAGATTATATGTGAAAAATAAAAATCCTTCACCTCTATGCGCATTCAAAATGGTTTTTATTATTTTATACGTGATTTTGTGATTATTTATATTGATTTTTATTTTTTACCTTGTTAAACTTTTAAATAATTTTATCAAGTTAATTATAATAAAAATAATAACTAATTTATACAACACAATTCTAAATAGCGTACCCGGAAATACGCTATTAAATAATCAACCATGGTAAGCATAAATTGTATGAATGTAACCTAGATTTATATTGTCTTACAACATTAAAAAAACCACCAAGACACTAATTTAATTAAAAATCTACAGTCAATCATGGGATTACACACAAAACTACTACACCAAACGGCAACACTAATAATAACAACAATACTAATCGGGACAATATTACCAAAAGTGGACTGTAGGCTAAACGTACGCAAAAACTCTAAAGACCTAACCCGGGAGGAGTGGGCAGAGCTGAGGCACGGGGTGGAGCTGATGAAAGTGCGATCGTACAAGGACAAATACGACCCACTCGGCTGGTACTTTCAGGCCAACATTCACGGCTGGGCCGAGTTTGACGGCTCGGCCGACGCCCGCCGCGAGGCTGACCACTGGAATTGGCACCGGTGTCAGCATGGTCACTATTACTTTCTGCCCTGGCACCGGATGTATTTGTACTTTTTTGAACGCATCATGCGCAAACTGACCGGCAACAAGCGCCTAACCATACCCTACTGGGACTATTTCGACCCGGAAGAGAGGGCCCTCCCACAGCCCTTTCGACTGCCGGCGGACACCCGCCAGAACCCCCTCTATGTGCGGGAGAGATGTGCGGCGCTGAACGCCGGTATGCCGTTGAGGGAAGAGATAGTAGACCCGCACCCGGCGCTAAACACCACGTTCTTCTCCGTCGATGACACGGTTAGCCGCTATCACGTGTGCCACTCGTTTGGCGGCGCCCGGAGTCGACCCAAACTGGTGGCCGACAGACAGGGCCTACTCGAGCGCATACCCCACGACTATATACACATGTTTGTCGGCGGCCCCTCAGGGTATATGTCGGACGAGTGCCGTACGGCTAGAGATCCCATATTTTGGTTACATCACAGCCAGATTGATAGGGTGTGGGAGTCGTGGCGGGAGGCAGGGGGTGGTCCGGGCGATGGGTATAAACAGTATCTGAACCAGTCGTTTGAGTTTTACGACGAACATGGTAAGCGCCGGGCGTACAAGGTGCGTAATTTTTTAAACGTAACAGCGCTGGGCTATCGGTACGATAGGCTACTGCCCAGCGAACGCAAGCCCCGTAAAAACGGGACTAAAATACCGGAAGTGTTTGTGACGGCCCGGCAAACAAACTTTGCCAAACTGGCCATCGATACGGACCAACAGTCGGTGCTCATGGACTTGGAGTCGACCGGCGCTGACCTGTTCGAGAGCATAGCCAAACATCCGGGCAATTACACGGGGCTAAGGTTTTCGCTCCAGGTGAATTTCAATTACATCGACAGTACGCTAATATACAACATGCACATGAATTTGCCGAACGGCACCCATCCCTACGAGAATAGGCCCTACTTTTTCGGCTCGTTGGTCTACTTTCAGGCCAATTGCATACCGACGCTCAGGCGTGAGCTCCTGGACGTGAAAAAGTGTTTCGACGTGACCGAGAACCTGATGCTAATCATCAAGCGCAATTACCAGTATGATGGTGAATTTACCAAGCACATTAATATTACGTTTGTGCCCAAAGCCTGCGATGATATACTACTGACCGGAGATAGTTTGAAGAATGCCCGCCTGCCCTCGTCCGAAAAGACCATGATCAGATTTAATGAAATACATTTGTTACATTATTTTAAAGATTAAAACCTGTTTTGATTTGTGTAATAATTTTTTGTTAGTGTCTATTATATAGTTTTAGTTTAATTAATTATAAATAAATTATAATTTATTTGTTACTCAATAAAAATAATATTGTGTTTTATATTGAATTTGAGAATATGGTAATAATTAATTATTATAAATATTACTGTTTTTTTTAGTTATTAATTATTAATTATTTAAATGGATTTAATTGTATTATTATACAACAAGTGTACAATCGACATGACAGTAATCTGCTATTAATCCTCGTAGCATTGTGCCTGGCCTGCGATATATTAACCCGAGTGTATGCTTATACTGAATACAACGCTTTAATACAATGCTAGCGCATTCTGTGAG